TTGGTACATTTTAGGTATGCAATATGATGGCATTCATCATTGGGATCTTGTACCTGTTTGTGATGTATCTCGGTTCTTAATTTTTCCGCATTCCCCTGCCCCCCCTTAACCCCTCCACCCCTCCCTATTCACAAAGATTGTTTCCGTTTTTTCCTTCTGTTCTCAGGACCAAAATGTATAATAGACAATGTGGAATAGGAAGGAAAGAAGGGAAAGAAAAGAGCATGCAGCTCTTCAGGCTACTGCCAGGCCCTGCACTCCCTGTGTTCTGGGACCTGGAGTCACCAGCATGGGAAGTCCCAGTGCCATTCTTACCTTGAAAGTCTCAGCCAGCTTTGCAGCCTGCCATCCCCAAGGAGGCCCCATTCAGCAGCGGGCCACCTAGTGATCCACCACCAGCGGGGGACACTGATCTGAACACAGAAACCGGGACTTTTCTCGGGGAAGAGAGGGCGCTGGCTTCGGGAGCCGTCCCAGGGCCCGCACTGAGGTATGAACAGTGGACATTCAAAGCAAGCGGCCCCGGAGGTCTATGCAGGGAGCAGCCTGCTCCTAACGGGGTGAAGGCTGGGTGCCAAGATGCCGCCAGGCTGTGTAGGGCGGGGTGCTGCTAACATCTCAGGACTGCTGGGAGCGCGGTCTGGAGGCTACCAGCATCCGCACGGGGTTTAATATCAGAAGCAGAAAGGCCGTCTGCAGCTCTGCACCATGTGTGCAGTGACAGCAGTGACCCACGTGTCCTGTGAGGGCAGGGAGGGCTCAAATGGGACAGAAGACCTTGCAGGCTCTAGGTTCAAGAGGCCTCCCACACTGCGGAAGGCCTGGGGATGGGAGCCCCATGGCCCAAGGGGTGCAGGAAGGAAGCTATGGTGTTCCGAAGCTTGTGTGCATGCTCTGTCCCGCGTCCTGCAGAGAGGCCACATGGCACTGGGCTGCTCCGCCGTCCATGCATGAAATCCTCTCACACTTCAGACCAGTATGGAGAACGAGGAGGACTCGGACCCCAGTGCCAGGGCACCAACACAGCCGCCGAGACCCTGACGAGCCGGTGGCACAGAGACACGCACCACGCAAAACGTGGACTGGGCATCCCTGGGACTCCCCACCTAATATGTGGAGACCGGAGCTGGCCAGGAGCAACTGAAGCAGAGGGAAGACAAACCTTGTGATCACTTGTCAAGAACAAATACCAACACCCAGCCAGAGCTGAAGCTTTGTCATCCTAGAGTCCTAGGAGAAGCTTACATAAAAGAAATCTTAAAATTTTATTCAAAATTGCTTAATTTCCAAACTTTTGATCAGTTGCATTTTAATACGGTTAGACAAATCATCCTTCAGAACTGTCAGCTCCTGTAAATGTACCACTGGGGACGAGACACTTGCTTCAATTGGCACCCTGAATAACAACCTGGTAAACGTTCAGCTCTTTACATGTGAAATTAAGGCCATCATTTTGAAAACTGAAAATGACCATCTCTGCATTAGGCTCCCAGCTGCCCTGATGCAGCTGCTAAATGAGGGGTTCACAAGTTCCCAGCCTTGTTGTCTCACTGCTCTGGGGGCTGGAAGTCGGAGCCAGGCTGTTGGGAGGACCCTCCTTGTCTCCTCTGTGCTCCCAGGGGGCTGCCATCCTCGGTGTTCCTGGGTTCCCCACTCTCTGGCTCTCCAAGCACCATCTTCCTAGGACACAGGTATAGGAAAAGCCGGCCCTCCAGCGCTATACTCTCAGCTAACACATCTGCAAGGACACTACTGTTCCAAGCCAGGTCTGAGGCCCGGTGGGTTTTCTGCAGAGGATACAACTCAACCTGCACCAGTCTCCAAGGTTCGGAATTCTGGGCATTCATTAAAGCACTCTCTAACGTAGTTTTGTAGTATAACAAGCTTACATGTGCTTTTCTTCTTCCTCCCACACTTGTTTTGATTCTTCCTAAGTCTGGATCTTGGAGTTAATCTGTCTTGAGTGTCACCGTACTTGACTTAAGAGATTTTTCTTCAAGTAGAAATTCAAGTCAAGACAGAATAATAGGGAGCATATTTATCCTTCTGTTTGAAGCAATTGAAGCACCAGACAAACATATGAAACCTTTTTAAAGACACTGGGCATCAAAGAACAAACAGCAATGATCCTGGAGGGGAGGGGACCAGCAAGGTGAAGCCTCATTGGCCCGGGGGACAGTGTGGACGGTTTCCAAGGCACAGTACAGGGAAAGGAAGCCGGGAAAACCAATTCTCAATCCACTGTCCTGTTGGTGCAATTATTTGGATCTTCTTAATAACTGTTATTAATCCATTAAATCGAGGTTCTTACAATTACCATTAATCATTGATGTGCCACTGACTTTTGGAATAATTGTTGTATATTTATTGTTAGACTTTCAATAAGGAAATGCTTCCATCACTAACAGTTATCCCTAAAAGGCTTACCTGTATTTGCAAGTAAGATTGTAGATATTAATAATAATCTAAATGTCATGCCTGGCTTACAGTAGTACCATAGTCGGACTAGTTGGCCCTAGGGAAATGTACTCAAGCACGGTCCTGAGTGAGTACAGGTCCAGGGACTAAGGGGGTGACGCTGAGTTCACACCTGTTTTATTTCCAGGCTGAAACCAAGCCCGAATTGGAAGAAGTGGCCGAAATAGCACAGCTGCAGCTAAAGTGCTGATCTTTCTCAGACCTGAAAAAGAAAAAAAAAAAAAAAGAGCAAAGGTTAAAATTGAGAAAAGAATAAATAAAAGTATACATGTTTCCTTTAGAGTTATTAACAACCAAAAGTAACCGAGAAAGGAAGAAATTTAAAAGTCACTTTCGTAAGAGTTGCACTGCAGGTTGGGGACATCTATGCTTTGCTCCAAGTTCCAGTGCTGGCCACTCCCGTCTGCAGGTGCTGCTGTCGCGGTGGACACAGGCACAGGCCGGCCGTGAGCTCCAGTGGACATGGCCGGCCGGGTCTCCCAAGCTGCCTCGGCCTCCAGTTTGCGCACATCAGCAGAACCTCACTGGGTGCTTCTCTCTCCGGTCTCTGTGGAAGAGAGGCGAGGTTTACACTTCACAGACCAGGAGCCGCCTTCCTGCACTGTGACTTCCGGCAGGGTGGGCCGGGTAGGAGACCACACGCTGTGACCCGCGTGGTTCTCGCTGCCCCTCTCGGTCCATCCTCAGCCCCCCTGAGTTCCTGTACCAGAGCCCAAGTCACTTCTGGCTCGGAGCTGCCCAGTTCACGGGTCACTGTGTGCTCCAATAAACTCCTCAAGAATTTTATTGTGCCTCGGTTTACCTTTTAGCAGTATATTTATCAAAAATTGGAATTTTGGGGGCCTCACAAGCATAAGGTCCCGAGTTTGATCCCTGGTACCAAAAAAAAAAAAAAAAAGGAATTTCTTAATCCCCTTCACAAGAAAATATGAGCTGTAAGACTGAATGCGCTCCGGAGCTCACCCGAGCCCTGTGGACACTTGGTTTCCTGCTGCACTTTGTTGCTCCTGTGACAGTGACACAGAGGAGAGCGCTGTCTTCAGGCTGTGCTCTTCCCTCCTGGGCGCCTGCGGTAACGAACCTGCGCCGAAGCACAGCAGCTCTGGAAGGCAGCAGATTCGCTCTCCTGCAGATTGCAGCCTCGCTGTGCTCAGTCCGGAGCCACCAGAGTCTTTGGAAATTCATCCATCGTACCGCGTCGCGGTCCTTCAGTGCAACCGGCAGCAAAGAAGAAACACAGTCAATAAAAACTGAAAAGGCGAGAAATGCAAAGAGCGGATTTGAGAGCCAGGTGGCTGCAGTTTTAGTTTTTATATTAACAACAGCTTCCCACATTTCAAGATTGAGCAGAAAACTTTCCTCTTCCTTTTGAAAATGTATTAATTTTTCTGTTTCCCTAAGTACAATGAAGAAAGCAGGAGTTTTATTTAACAAGTGATGATTTCAAAATTGCTCCAAGTCATTCCACGGGACCAGGCATTCCTAGGCCCTGCGTGGCTTCAGTGGCCACAGGCTTGGACACCGCTGCCTAATGCTGGCCCTGAGTCTCCTCTTCCAAGAGAGACAGCCGGGTAGATGACGGCTATCCCTGCCTTTTCTCCCTAATCTCGGGATGTGAGCAGGGTTATAGCACCCACGGATGACGGGCGATGGAGACATCCCCAGAGAGGGCGTCCCGTTTCCCTTCCATTCCCGGAAGAGGCGCTCAGTTCTACCTTTCTGCCTCTCAGCGCCCCAAACAGTCAGGTGCGATAAAAGCTTCAGACTAACAGAGGCTCCTGATTCAATAGGACATCCCTGTAACACTGTTTACCAGGAGGCTGGGAAAATTGGAGGGATTAGGGTTACAGCCCTAAGAATTTCCCTTTATAGATTTAACCTGAAATAACAGGCTCAAAGGACAAATAAAATTAGCAGTTTCCCGGATCATTCCTGGAAAAATTTAAATATAAAATCCTGCTGCAAAACAGCAAGATGTCAGTGGCCACATTCAGAAGAGACCTAGGAGGGAAGAGGCGAGGGAGGCCCTGACCCCAGCTACGGCAGTTCCGGTCTTGCTGCCCACCTGGCAAAGGGACAGACTCCTGTCACAGCAGCGTGGTCTCAGCTGTGCCCTCACCATGAGCAATGCTCATTCTGCTGGTGTCTGTCCTGGGCTGCATGGCGACAGAGCCCTTCGGAGGTGTGAAGATTCTCTCTCCCCCACCTTTTCTCCCTCCCTCTCTCTAGGGTCTTACTGTGTCATTCAGGCTGGCATCAAACAGGGATCCTCCTGCCTCAGCCTCCAAGTGCTGGGATTACTGGTGACCATGCCCAATTAACACTCTCGTCCTGAATTCATAATAAAATATTCACTTAATTCTCTTGCATGGAGGGGTCTGATCATTTCAAACTCTGACTACACTGAGGCTGCCTTCAGTTTTATACTGTGGTTTTCTTATATTGGTTCTTGCTAAATTGCCCAGGTGAGAGATGAACTCTCCTGCCTCAGCCTCCTAATGCCCAGGAATTACTGGCATGCATCACAATGCCCAGCTTGCTTTTCAGCAAATGTGAGGCAGGGTGGAAGTCAGGTGAAGGAGCCTCCAGGACAAGGAGCACATGGCCTTGGTGTGGTTCTGCAGTGTCCTGGGTCTCACAGCTGCCACCACGAACTAGCATCAGTGGTGGTTTAAACAGCAGCAGCATCTCCCGCATGCCATGGAGCTGGAAGGCCAGGACCCAGGGGCAGCCCAGCCTCGGGCTCTGAGTCCTCCATCCTGGCTCAGGCGCCCCTGGCCTTGCCTGCGCCGCTCTTCCTCCTGCGGCCTGCCAGTCCCTGTTACCTCTGGACGCCGAGAACCCCCAGGGCCTGGGCTCAGAAGCCCCGAGAGTCCCTCCCCACTCCTCTCTGTTCTGCGCACCCGCTCTCCGCAGCAGGCCTGACCCTCTCAGAACCCGGAAGAACCGGCCCTTCCCTGCGGCCCTCAATCCCCCTGCATGCGGAAGCAGCCGCTGCAGCTCCGCAGCTCCGCGAAGTGTCCCGGGCCCCTCACTGTGCTGCTGTCTGGTTCCCTTCTGACAGAGCAGACCTGGCCTCGCCCTCCAGTCAGGAGAGCGACTGCCCTGCATCTTCAGTGTCGGGCTGCGCCTGGATGGCAGCCCCTGCACAGAAAGCCCACGCCCTGCTCAGCCGCCCTCTGCACGCACCCTTCCCTGCCCGCTCCTTTCTTCTCCTGACTTCACCAGCTCCTGCTCAGCAAGCCCTGATCCTGGGCATGCAAGCTCACCCTAGAATCTTCCTGACCTTGGCTCCTCTCAGGGACATCCTGCTGTCAGCCATCAAGGCCTCCCGTCCCTGTCCTCCTAGATGTCACTGATGCTCAGTTAGCCAGAACGTGTTTGAGGCAAGTTTCTAAAAATGTGCTTCAACTGGGAATCAAAACTCCCACGGCAACGCTGCTTCTGAAGGAAGTGTCACAGTGAAGGGTCCACTTCCTCAGTGCCATTCACCCCACACCCCTGTTCAGACAAGAAAGGGCAGAGCAGCCTCCAGAAGACAGGAGCAAGGTGCAGCCGAGGTCACCACAATCCGAGGTGCAAGTGAGTCCCAGAGTGCTGGTTCCGTCTAAGGACAGGGAGCCACAGTCCGTCCCTTACAGAGAGTCTGAAGTGGGCGTGGAAGTGCCCATCTGTAATCCCAGCCCTCTGGAAGGCTGAGGCAAGAGGACTGCAAGTTCAAACTCATCCTGGGTAGCCTAGTGTCTTAGAGAGAACTTGTCTCAACATAAAAAGTACAAGAGCTGGGATGCAGTTCAGTTTGAAAGCCCTGGGTCTGGTCCACATGGCGTCAAGAGAGGGAGGTCCTGAGCCTCCAGAGTCACGACTGCAGGGCTCGGGACGGCACAGGGAGGGCGGGGTAGAAGTGGTGCACGCTGTGGCTTCCCAGCCCTCAGCAGCCCCAGACCAACAAATGCTGGAGGCGTGGCCCCAGCATGCAGCACATCCACTCTCCACGGTCCCTGCACAGGGAGACTATGGAGAGCACCGAGCAGCCCCTGCTGTCCAGCCTGCGGGGGGAATCCCAGCACCCAGGGCCAAAGCGCAGGGAACAAGCTTCCCTCCACCCAGCCGCAGTGCAGCGAGAGGACGCGAGGGCTGGAGCACAGTGTGGCAGAACAGACCCAACCATCACGAAGGCACGGCCGCACACGCGTGCGATGCCACACCGCCACTCTAAGCTCACCCGTGACTTCGGCCGCCAGTGGAACCAGAAGCCACACACAGACAGGAGCAGCCGAGGGCAGAGGTCGCTGGCTGGATGTGGGGCGCTCACGTCCGGAGCAGCTGGAGCAGACGCGAGGGCCCGGCCAGCAGAGGGGACCAGGCGCTCCACCTCAACCCCATTCCTTAAAGATCACACTCCAGGAGCTTCCAGTCTGCCAACCACTGGCACAGCACAAGGCAGCTCCAAAGAGAGAATTCGGAATTACAGTGGACCCTCGGGTTACAACCAGCCTAACATGAACAACTTGGGTTATGATTGCAGTTTTAATTTTAACTATGACCAAAGTCTTGAGTTACAACCCAGATGCCGGCCACTTATGCTTCCAAATGGTCTCAGATACAGATTTAGCCCTTACAGATTTCTGGAAGGAACATGACATCACCCTTTCCTGGGTGGGGTTCACTGAGAAATCCTGGCCAGCATCTCTCTAAGGACCCTGAGCTCTGCCTGTGTGCAGGCTGTGTAGAGGAGGCTGAGCCTTCACTGGCCAACCTGAGTTACAACCAGCCTCAGGAATGCATTGAGTTCAGAAGTCGGGGGGACCACTGTATTAAATTCTCCCTCAGCGGTGATCCGCAGGGGTCCTGGAGCCCGGCTCCTGCTGCTGGCTGCTGCTTCCTGAACAGAGAAATTAAGTGCTTGCAGAGCCCCCCAACCCCACACTTACCCTGGGGGCCTCCTGTGAGCAGCCCTGACGGGGTGCCCAGTCCTGTGCCCTCTCTGTGGAGGCAGCACAGTGATCTTGTTCAAGAAAAAGGGTTTCAAGGGCCACTGAGGCCACATGTTGGCCTTCGTTTCTGCTTCTTGATCCTTCTTTGGCCTCTTCTGTGTTCTCCACCTATCGCTGGGAAGCCCACCACCTCCGGTTACCACCCCTCACCTCACGAACAAAAGCTAAGGAGCCAGAAGACCCCAGGTTCCCTGGTGTGGTGAACTAATGAGGTTTCTCGGTTGCTCACACAGGCAAGGCCTTGTGCCTAGGTGTAGAAAACAGAGCCATTGGCAGCTGTAACAATAAAGAAGGAAAATGCCTCGTTCCGTGGACAGGACAGCAGCACCATGAACGTCCACTCCTAGAACCGCACAGGCAGGCACACAACCAGGAAGATCTCCAGGGAGAACAGGCCCAGAGCCCCCGTGTGGGATCCTGACGCTGTGGTGCCCAAAACGGGCCCAGGAGGATGTGCATAAATACACCAAAAAGTAAAGGCCTCAGACAATGCTTTCCCACTGTCAAACCCTGGGCCACAGCCACCTGAGAGACTGGCTGAGACGTGACGGCCCTCTCTGCATGTTGAGGGCTCCTTCTCTCCTCCTTTATTTACAGGCCCCTCACTCTCATCGTCCACACAGCAGACCAGATGCTCAGAAGGAGTGGGGGAAGCTGTCCTGGGAGGGACGGTGGCCACCTGACAGGCTTCTCAGGGCCACAGGGCTCGACCTGGGCATGAGAGGACTGGAAGACCGCACCAGGAGGCTGAGGCTGCAGACAGCATCTGCCAGAGATCTTTGTATCTCACTGTTTAGCGATTTATTTTCAGGGTATTTTATAAAGTGCTTAACCCACATTGGATGGAAAAGAGAAAAAAATCTCTCTTCTGCCAAAAAGAGCTTGAGTTTTATCACGGTGGAGTATATATCACACTCACAGAATGCAAAGTACTTTTCATCTATTATTTCATTTTACCCTGAAAAATACTTTCAAGTAAGTAGTGAATGTTTGGTTTCCCCCACTCTACACATGGTAAAACTTTTAATTTAAATTATCCTCAATTCACACAGAAACGTTGGCCATGGGGAGCAGATGGAGAAATTGAGTCTCTAGCTCCCGGGAAGTGTGCAGTGGTTGCGCCGCTGTACTGGAGGTGGCTGTGTGGGTAGGGTTCACTCTTTTGGTGTAGAAAGCCCAAGATGTGTACTCTGCCATCCGATGGGGGGGGGGTTCTAACTCACTTTTTACTTTTTTAAACTTAAGATTTCAAATGAATTTCAGACGATGAATCAACTCTGAATCAATTCAGCCCATGCTTTGAATCAATTACTAGTGATTTTATAGAAGGCAGGGTATTTGGAGATCATTGAACTTCCCCAACATCCACTTTTTAGAGAAAGCCTCCTACAGAGTTGATATTTACCCTAAAACCCATCTTGAGACCAAATTATTGTTCTCAGTTTTACTCTGGGCCCAACCAGTATAGACAGAACTCTCTGTCTGGGCGTGAGTCTGGTGTTGCAAGCACGCCCAGGCTGACTGCTGCCCAAGAATGAGAATTACACAGGTCAGAGTCTGTTTACCCTGCAAACTGTGGCAGGAAACGGACCAGGGTTGCTGGAAGATTCGCCACACTCCTAGCCAGCCACAGAGCCCAGGACCACAGTGTCCTGATGAGGGAGGCCGAGGACCTGTGCAGATCCAGGGGTCACCAACGTGGACTCCGGACAGACTGGCCCATGGGGTGGCGGGCGATGCGGTGACCCACAGGAGGGATTGTCACACGGGCGTCCCACCTCACACCTCACAGCTGCGCCAAGGCACAAGTACAACGGTAGTGAGAGACTCGGTGTTTGACGTATGAGCACCATGGTACAGAATGATGTTTTACAGAGCCGCAGCAAGAGCAGGCGGCTGATTTGCACAGTGGTGACATGCTCCCTGCCCTTCCGAGGTCCAGGACTGTCATTTACAGCTCCAGTGATCGTAGGGTTCCATTTCACACCTCCCTGCCCCTTCCCAGACAGCTCTGAGTTGTGGGCACAGAGAACCTGCATTTGCCCCTCGGGTGAACATTTCCGTTATGGAAATGAGCGGAGAGACCACAGATTGTGCACACAGGAAAGTTCCTGCAGGTCAGGTGCAGTGGAGGCCATGTGGCCCCAGCATCACCGAGTGTCCCCCTCCCCACCTGTCGCTCCTCAGGCCAAGCCCCGGGCTGGCATCCACCCGGCTCTGCGTCGCCTCAGCGTGGCCGGGCCCACAGAAGCCACTTGACGCGTACCTGCTGAATACGAAGGGTGGCTGGAGACTAGGAATCCCTGCGTGTTTCTCTTCAGACAGACACTCCCAGCAGGACCAGCCTGCCCAGCGGCTGTGGGCTGCGCCGTGACCTTCCTGTCACAATGCTGACTGATACAAAGCCCCAGGATTTTCTTCCTTGTGAAGTCTTAGAAAGGTCAAGGCCACCCGAGTCCCTCTGCAGCTCTCAGGAATCTGGACAGGGTTTCCACCCTCCCATGGCACAGGCTGCTGCCCCCTCTCGTAAAGCTGTATCTGCAGTCGTTAACAGGCACAGGGAAGGGGAGCCGTCCTTCTGGTTACGGAGAAGAGGGGCCCACTGACTCTTAACATTCCTTGGGTTTCACTCTTCTGCCCTTCAGCGGTCCACAGCGGTCCGCAGGGTCCTCAGGTCATCTACTGGCCTTAGTCAAACTTCAGCAAATGCCGTGTGCACTCTGGCCTCCCTACCCTTCCAGCCCTGTGGGGATGCCAGGTTCTGGTAGCGCTGGGACACTCAAAGGTGGACGTTGGCTTTGCCTTTCTGGATAAAGAAACCTGCCCTGGTGCTGTCATAAAAATGGGTGCTATTGTCCCTTGTTGTCTTCCCCGGTGACTTAGTCCATGTTCTACCCACCATGGATTCACTTAGAGAGAAAGCAAATCCCCTCTGCAGAGAGCCCAGCTTGCAGCGCCCTTCCCTGGAATCCACTGTCCTGGGATTGCATCAGCCTCGAGCTGCGTCGACACTGCCCCAGCCTCAGCAGCCGTTCACTGAGCACAGAAAGCCCCCCAGTGGGATCAGACCCACGGCAGCCAGTTATTTCGCCAGGCTGCATGCTGCTCTGACTGAACTGAGGACATCAGCCCACAGCAGTCATCCTGGCCCGGGAGCTCATCTGACCTCCCGTGGCTGCAGGGAGCAGGGTGCCCGTGAGGAAGGAGGGTGAATTCCCCACAGCGCCTTTACCCTGTGCCCCTCAGCTTGTCCAGGAGAGGGACAGCAGCATAGAAGTCACACTGCTGGAGCCAGTCTTCATGTGTTCCCTTCATATCGTGACATGAGGTGACTTACCTGAGCGCCCTCTGCCTTGATCCATGACGTGGGCCCAAAACACCTATCCTGGAGGGCCCGGATGCTGGGCAGACTCACAGACTGTGGCCCCCAAAGCCCTTCGTGAGCAGCCCACGTGAGCCACAGCCCTTGTTACGGTTTCAGACAGCAGCCTTCACGGGGTGACTAGGGTTTCCCCGAGTCCCACTATTTTTGCATTTGAAATAGTCCTCTGCCTGTCCCTACACATTTCATCTGCAGAGTTCTCCACACCCACAGGTGCTGTCCTGGACGTGACAGTAGCAGACTCGGGAACCGACCCACTGGAACTGTCTCCTCAGCTCCACGGTGACCAGAGCTCCTCTGTTAACTATGAGTGGCCTCCCGGGAAAGTAAATGTGTGGGGAATGCGTGTGTGCATGCGTGTGGGCGTGTGTGCTGAGTCTGGGGCCACCACGTCTCCAGGGAGCAGAGCTGCTGTGATATGCTTCTGTTGTCTTACAATTATCGCTTTTGAAGAAACAACCCGCTCTGCACTCCACAGTGACCCGTGCTTGTCACCGGCCCTGTGGGATGGACGGCTGTGGTCACAGAGCAGGCGCGGAGGAAGAGGACCTCCCGGCAGGAGGTGAACTCACTGCTACAGCACACGTGGACACACCTGAGCCTCCCTGTGGCTTCTGTTCCTGCAGGACACAAGGCCTCTTCCTGCAGGCTCACGGCTGTGGGGAAGCAGCCCTTGGTGTCCTGGCCCTTTGTAGGACTCAGAACTGGAAATAGTGACTCAGACTTCCCGCTCCACCCGGGTTCTCTGCTCCTGCCTCAGCCCCGGGCTCTTGACGTGGTTTCAGTATTGCTGTTCTATAACATGAGATAAAACCAGTGTTGTAGCTGTCTGATTTTTACTGGGTGATTAGTCGAGGCATGATAAGGAGAGAGGCACGTAAAGTATTATTTTATTTGAAAGCCAGAAGCACATAATGTTTATTAATAAAGAGCCTAGTTTACATAGATTTTATTATTATTGAGCATAAAATGGTTTATATTACAAGCAAGGGTGAAATTACTAACTAATTAGCCTGTGATGATCACATTTAATGGAATATATAAATCTAGGGTGTTGCTTTCGTGCAAACCTTGAGGGTCTTATGCATTAAGCATGTATATATGCAGCCTTTCTGCTGAAACGGGATTAGGACGGACATATAACCCAAGGTCAATGACAGATTTTGTGTTTCCCAAATTCCAAATTCTCGGCGCCCTAAATCCCTTAACGCTTGTGGAAGTCAGTTTTAATACACAGCTAAAATGAGAAACACAAAAGTGAAGAATTTATAGGCCAAACTCCCCTGTCTCTCTCTCCTTCCGTCCCTCCTCCCCTGTAGTGCAGGACTCACTTCACTCTTCTGGAGAACTTTGCTTCTATTAACTTAGAGGATTGCTCAATCTTTGTAAACACACCATTCTCATCTATTTCAGTTAAATGTTGTAATAGCACCATAAAATGTGTCAGGCATTGCAATAAACCATCAGTCACCAGAAGCACAAATCGTATGGGAAAATTACTAGAAACCATGTTTTAGAAGGAAGGAAAAAAGAAAACCTTGAAGAATTCAGGAAAATAATTCTAAATGTTTCTCGTTGAAATGGAGCAGGACTGTAGTTTGAGCAAGTTTCATCATGAACCAGGGGCTCCTTGCTGCCTTGAGGATGCTGGAGCCCAGGGCCTGAGCCTCTCAACCCCTCTGCACCCACGGTGCCCAGACCACGGGAGGCCCACACACTCTGTGCAAAACACAGAGCTGGATCACATGGGGCTGAGGGTGCACAACGGAGCTGGCTGCCAGTCTCCCTGCACACGCTCCCACCAGTCATCCTATCCACCAGGCACCACTACCGGGCCCTCTCGAAGGAGCTGGGGCGGCCTTTCTAGGGGAACAGAGGCCCTGCCAAGGGTGGCACCTTGGGGGCTTGTCCCTTCTCAGTCAAGCAAACCAGACAGAAACAGAAAGCCAGCCTGGCTGCTCTGCAAACACTCCGTAGCTTCTGGTTGCTGTGGGACCCCCCAGCCCCCAAAGGCCAAAATCGTTATGATGAGCCCCATACTGTACATCCTGCTTTAGGAAAATGCTTTTGTTTTGATGGCTGGACTCAGAGAAAATGTAGACTTACCAAACCACGAATCTGAGCCCCAGGAAATCTGTGTTTGGAAGGCTCTGGGGCTCTGCTCCCCCTCTCTGGCCGGCTCCTGTTATCTGCAGATGAACACTGCCCCCTGCTGTCCAGAGTACGCACTTCCCCGGGGAGCTCTGTGGTAGAAGCCACTGCAGGGTAACCAGAAATTAATTTTGATTCCTTCAGCTCTTAGCTGTCAGTTCTGAAGAGTTACAACTGCAAAGAATTGTGCTGCATGAAAAGACGACTCACTTTGTTTTATTATTGTTACTCAGTCATTTTTATGAACTATCATCACTAGCAAAGACCCACTGAAACAAAAGGCCAAGCAAGAGACAAGGCAGCTGCTGCGGCTGGGAGCCCAACTGAGCATGGAGCAAGGTGTGGAGAACACAGAGCTCTGCGAAAGGTCCGGAGCCAGGTAGGACACCCACCCAGAGGGAGTGTGTGGGCTCAGGCCAGAAATAGTATGCCGGGAGCCTCCTGGCTCTGAGTCGGCGCTCTGGTCCCTGCCCGGCCCCTAGTCTGACTCCCTGGCAGAGGAACGAGGCCCGGGCTGGAGGCGGCTCTGAGGAGGAGTCCGCACACCACAGAGCAGGGATGTGTCTTCCCCTGGCCTCCTGGGTGGGCTGCCTCCGGTGACCTCTGTGAGCAGGTCCACCCCGAGGAACTTCGGGGCCCTCTGAAGCTCTCAGCAAGGGACTTTTGGGGTTAATGGACCTGTGGAGCTCCTTGCCGTGCCACACCAGGCACTGTCCTGCCCCATCCCCACATCCTAGGCCCGGTGTCAGCCACGCCGTGGATGCCCGGGTGACATATCTCCTTCTCGGGGCTCGTGTGGCAGGAGCGAGGTCCTTGCTGTCCTTCACCATTGCTCTCTTTGCAGGTGGTACCACCCCATCCCACAGTCATGGAGGAGCAGGCGCAGAGAGCTGTGAGGGACTGAGAGATGAAGACCGCATTTATTAAAATATATTGTCACGTTGTCCTATTTTATTGGTAGTCCCTACTGTGGCCAATTTACAAGTTAAGCTTTGCCTAAGAAATCAACACAGTGCACTTCGGGCTCCAGGCCGTCCAGGGCTCCCAACCTCAGGGAACATCCTGGAGGACCGTGGAGGGCACAGCCTCTGTCCGCTGTCTGTCCCGGGTGCATTACGGAACAAGGCCTAGGGAGCTCTGCTCTGAGAACTCCTGTTTCTGTTACCCCTTCTTTAGCGAGTAGCTCTACACATGTAGGCCAACGCCTGAAAGTCCGACCACATCAACGGTGACAACAGCTGATCCTTATTGCACTTCCTACTTGCCAAGCTGCACGCTGGCATCTTCCATGAGACGCTGTCGTGTGATCTCGGTGACACAAGCTAAACTGTTCTCACGGTCACACCCTAGGCACATGCAGAGCTGGGCCTTGCGCCTGAAGATTTCCTTGGTTCCCATATCATAAAATTCTCAAGTGTTTATTTAAACACCGAAAAGGTTCACTATCATAGAAGGAAAAACACAAAATACAATTTTCCTCTGATTTGCCGACAAGAAGAATCATACTTGGCACAGAGGACTGACCACACACTGTCAGCACCTGGTAAAGACGCCCGAAGACGTCACTCCAGAATCGACTCCAAAGCCCCTCGAAAGACACCAAGGAAGCCAAGCTGTCTCCAGAAGCCAGGAGAACTGCCGCTGCCTCTGTGGCCCTGCCTGTGCCCCGGCGTCCTGACATCCTGGCTATGCGAGTCCTAGGAGAAAGTCTGTGGCTTTCCCGTTGGTGCTGAGCATGGAGCAGCTGCTCACTGAGTGTTCGTCTGCAGGCTGATTAAACACAGCCAGAGCCCCACTGCAGGTCAAGGCAGAATCACCCCCTGCACCCACCCAGCTGACCTGGGCTCTTCTTGCCTCTGCCTGTGTTCAGCTCCTCTGCTAGTGGCAGCTGGTTAACAACAAAGAGATAGCATCTCTGAGAGTCCTACTGCTCCTAACCCTGGATTCCTGGGGTGGGGCTCTCAGTGTTGTTGGGAGTAGACTCCTCCGAGAATATTGCTATGACTGGCAAGGACTGGCACTCTCAGTGGTGTGCAGAAGAATTTGGCAGTGGAAGTCCCGTTTCCAGGGCACAGCTCACCTTTAAAAATTAGTGGACAAAGAGGCTAGCGGTGTCCCCCTGCATAGCCTGCTGTCAGCTCTGCCCCCACAGCCCAGGCCACACCTCTCCCTGCACCCTGAAAACCACATCAGTGGGAGCAGAGGTCAGAAGACACGCAGCCCCCACTGAGAGAAGAACCCCATGGCTTCAGAAACCGCAGAGACACCTGCGATGCTGGAGTCCACTTTACCGAGAAAGGACTGTTGAGCCATAGTATGGGCTGGATTGTCTGTCCCAGATGCTGTGCTGAGCCCTAGAGTGACCACACTGGGTGCAGGGTCATTGGGTGCTGCTTTGATCCCACAGAACCGGTATCCTCAGAGGAAGAGGAAGAGATACCAGCAACACAACACACACACACACACACACACACACACACACACACACACACACACTGCATGCTGGGAAGAGAGGCACAAGGGAAACCTGATCTGCCAACCTCTAGATCTTGGGCCTCCACTTCCAGAACCGATAGAAAGCAGGTTCTTGTGGCACTGTCACGACCACAGACCAGACTGACAGCCCTCAACCCGCAGCCTGGCCTCCTCCTCGAGCGTCAGGGTCCCCACGGGCTCCAGTCAGGACTTCTGGTTGTCGTTTCTCGGAACTTCAAGCCTGGAGCCGAAGGTCTCCATCTCCCCAGCTTCCCTCTCTGCCTCTGCATGGGCTGTCTGAGAGCCGCACGGTGTCGTCACCGTGACCCTCACCACAGCCTAAGACCCGGGAGGAGCCAGCCCTGCGCTTTTTCCTCGAGCTCTGGGACACAGCATTCAGCATGCGGCCCCCGGGGCTCCCCCACCCTCCCTGACCCTGTTGCTCTGTTTCTCAGAAGACTCTGGCCTGCAGCCCTGCTGCCCACAGCTCTGTCTCCTGAGGGCCCGGCCCGTCCAGCCCGCCTGCATGCAGCACACACTCACGCCCAGGCCCGGCAAGGTGGCACAGAGCCAGCAGCGTGGGGCTGACGCCCTGCAGTGAGCGAGCTCTCCTAAGGAAATGCCCCCCGCCCTGCGCAGTTTCTGCTTTGCTGCCCTTCAGCCACACGTCATATCTTCCCTAGATGCCTTCCCCGCTTAGAGACCACTTCGCTTCTGCCCTCGTCCCTCTCTGCTCGGCCCCGGCCTCCCAAAGTGGCTGACATGGCCATCCGTCCACATTCCTCTTCCCACACAGCAGCTCGAGCGAGGGACCGGAACCGGGATTTCCAAGTACAGATTACCCATCCGAAGGCGTGGCACCAGTGCCTCCTCTTCCTACTTTCTGCTTAAACCCTGTACTGGCAGTGAAAACACAAACACAATTCCCCTAACTCTCGGCGGGGACTCTTGTTGGCTGATTTCTTCCAACTCAATTGCACCGGTTCAGACAAAGATCAGCCAAGGTCACAACAGTGAAATGCATGTTGCAAGCTGAGCAGAGACCTTGGACAGGAGTCACAAGCGTGGACTCCAAGCCAGAGCGCTGAAATCACCCTACAATTATTTTATTTTTGACTATAGCAAGTCTCAATCAAATGGCTATCCTGGGTTCAAAGCACAGTTTTCTGAAAACATTTAAAAGCCAACGTGTACTTATGTGTAAATGTGCACATTAAATGTAAACGATTCGGCAACATGGGTCAGATTTTACAAGCCATAGAAATGTCTTCTTTAAACTCACCCAGCCCGGAAATGGCCTCGTCATACTTAGCCACGTTTGAAGACAGGCTTTCTGCCCGGACAGGAGAGTCCTCTAGGCTGTGGGGAGTCTGCCGGAAGCACCCTCGCTCAGAACAGCAGAGCTGCTGGGGGATGGGGGCCGTGTGCTGCCCACCAGGACCGGACTGGATGCCTTGGAGGAGCCACCTTGCCCTTCTCCCCAGAGGTTGACAGGAATGCGTCAGGCTCACTCCCGGGCTGGCAGTGCCAGGCCTAGGTCGGGCCCTGGGCAGCCGGCCAGCAGAACCCAGCCCCCACCTGGCCCTGGGGAGGTCAGTTCACCTGGAGCCAGTGCAGCCACAGTCTCTTGTGTCATGAGCCATTCGTGTTTGGTCACCAGGCGCCCCTCGAGCTTCTGGAACCAGTCACAATCGTTCCGCCAGAGCTCCGTCCATGGAAGGCCAGCAAGATGCCCAGGAGCCAGTGGGAGAGAAAGGGGCAGAGTCCCACAGGGCGGCAGCGGACACCCAGTGAGGTCTCCCTGAGCAGCAGGTCCTGGTCCATCTCCCGCAGGACAGCTGATGGAGAGGGACGTCCCAGCTCTGCCACCTGGGTGATCCTCAGCTCTCCTGCCCACCCACATTTCCCACCACCGCTCGCCCCCCAGGCTGCAGGTTCAGAACCCTGCTGACAGCCTCTGAGTTCTGTATGACTGGTGATCAAATAACGAAGTTTATTAAAAATAAAATAGAACCTTCATAAAGCTCCTCAGACACCAAATGACTGTCACAAAACAACACTTGGATGCATTAAGTGCAAACAGATCAGGAACCTGTGGATTACATTTCCATGGAATACCTGTGGGTTTAAATATTCAGCAGGAAAGCGTCCGGGAAAACAGATCCTGAAGTTTCCTGAATTGCAGTCACTGAGAAATAATCTCTCCCAGGTCCCCATGCACACGTAGTCACACGGGCACAGAGGCCAACGCAGCCTGCCGCCAGGGTCACAGCTACGGCGGGATGACTGTGTATGCGGAGGACGGAGCTCTGTGTTCACCTCCCATGGCGCTGTGTTTGGCTCTCACCGGAGAGAAGGTGGGAATGGCTCCCGCTCACGCTCTGCCGCCCCTCCCGATCACTTCCCTCTGTCTCTAGAGCCCTCGGGAACCTGCTGTACTGGGTGACAGAAAAGTGTGTCTCTCCCCACAGACCTCGGCTGGCGCTGGCCCAGGGCCCTGGCTCCCCAGGCCAGCGCTCCACACTCGGGACTTGCATCTCATTGCCACGCTGAGCTGGAGAAGTCAGTCGTCTCCGCAGAACGGCGAGAACTAAAAGTAGCAGCAAGAAGTCTCCGCTTTCCAGCACAGAGCCGGCGTTGCCAGAAATCCACAGCCAAATCTGACTTAAAATTTGTACAAGAAAAGAACATCAACTCCGGTACCCACAGCCTCCCCTCCCCTCTAAGACCCATGGGGCCGGAACCACAGCTATCCAAATTTCACTCTGGATGGATGATTTTCCTCCGCTCCTTCCCTGACGGAACCTTGCGGTTCATTCACTGTCACGAGTGACCAGATCCACAGCGCTTACCCACGAATTGTCGACGTGCAGAGCTGAACAAAGCAACTTTGGAAATGTGAACAGAATGTGAAAGAGGAAGAAGAAAGAGCCGGGAAGCGCAGTCTATTATTTAAAACAAATAATTCCTCTGGAGGGCATGGAAGCCCTCAGAACGTATTCCCTGGAAGGATGGGAGATCCATCCGTCTGGTCGTCCTGACTGTGGTCCCGGCTGTGTGTGCCGCTGAGGCAGCTACAGAGAGGTTTCCCGGGAGGAAGCCGTGGCCCATGTTCAGTTACCTTAGCAAAGGCTCTAGAGCAAAACTCGTCATCTAAGTGGGAACCATTTTCTGAACACACATCTATTTTCACGGACGGCACCGAGGTGTCCACAGGGATGTCTCCTAGCACCTCCGGTGAAGAGCCCACAGCTTCCTGCCCTGTGTCCCAGCCTTCCTTAAGGATACCAGAGGAAGCCACTGCCCCCCACCAGGTCCCAGAGGATGCACAGAGCTGCCCTGTAGATACTCCCTGTCTAGTTCCTGCCTGAGCCCCGCCAGGCCTGGTGACCGACACATCCAAATCTGCACTGGCCTGAGGCAGCCCGATTCCCACCCCACTGGCAGAGGTCTGAGGTGCGCTCCGGAGCACGCCTGCCCACTCAAGGACGCAGAGCACCCGTTTCCGGGGAGGGGCTCTGCGTCACAGAGAGGAGGGCTGACGTGGCCAGCTGTGCTCCCTGCACCCCTCTGGGAAGTCAGGGCGGTGTGTCTGCCCTCCAGACAGCAAAGGACACTTCCAGCCTCCAAGCCACCCTCTCCTATTCCTGAATCCCAAGTCTCTTCAGGCCAGCTTCCTGCTTCTACTGGGCAACCACTCCCTAGAGTCAGAGGGAAATACAGTTTCCAACTTGAACGTTGAGCCCTGATCTTTGTGCCCCTTTTCCCCAAAAACTGGTTCCAAGGAGCTTTTAACCTCACCTCCCCTGCCTGGGGACAGGGAACCCAGAGAGGGCAACAGCTGCGGCCTGGAGGACACAGAGGCCGGGCCACGGGGAAGGATGCAGTGTGAGTCACAGCCAGTTGCCCAAGCTGCTCTCTACTCAAGCCCTGGAACTCTGCATAAAAGCAGCGGCCTCTTTCACTTCCCCTATGCTCTGAATCCAGGTCCGGAGCCCGGGCTTAAGGGAAACGAAGACAGTTGTGACCACACTGTCCTTCGTGGCTTGCTTCTGTGGTCCTTGCTATGTTAAAAACACTGTCTTTCCTGATTAGCGGAGCCCTGCCCTGCCATGAGGGTGAGCTTGGGTCATCTGTAGGAAATGGACGCACCCTGAGACCACACCGTGAAGAGAAATAGATCGGACACACGAGCTTAAGTATTTCGTGGTTTCTACTGTATGAGAAACCCAGAGTACAAACAATCTCAGCACACAAAATAAAAGACAGACAACAGGACACAGGCAGTTTGATCTGTTGTGGTCAGGAGGAGACCAAGAGATGTAGGGAAGGGGAGGGACATAAAAGAATGAAGGTGCGTTGTACGCCTGTACCTCCCCAGGGGTGCAAGCACTATGTGCTGCAAACATAGACCAATAAAAAAATGACATATGCCCTCCGTGTGACAGCGAAAACATTACAAACATGCTTGCCAGACATACAAAACCTCAGCAAAGAATCATGGCTGTTTCCTGAAGGACACAACGGGAGAGTTACTGGGGGAGGAAGGACGCAATGCAGCCAAACAGAACCGAGGAATGCCTTCAGGAGCATAAGCACTGGTAAGCCAGCCTCTCCATGGATTAAACACTTTGGAGCAAATACGAACACAGAACCACAAAGACGGGAGCTTAGTGGAGCAGAGCTACAGGAGCGACCTAGGACACACAGGAAGACCGTGTGTGGCGGGGTGGCCCTCAACTCAGGGGCCCACGATGATGGAACATTCGGAAAACATGCTGCCCACCAACAATGTGCCACAAAGCCATCACGCCTGTGGGACAGGAGTGCTGCCCCCGCTTGCACCCACCCTGACGACATGGGGACTCTGGGCCCTGGAGCCCAAGGCCGGGCTCTGACCCCACACACCAGTACACGGAGTGCAGCACCTGACCTCCCTGCCCTCTCCCGCTCTGCCAGACCACCCAGACAGTGCACCTGCTTCCGGGAGCAGCAGGAAGGATGCACGGGGCTGATGCCATCGTGACTTTGGACCTGAGGCCCTACGGACATCAAGGGCTCCGGCGCCCATCCATCTTCAGAACCAGCTTCTGCATTGCTGTTTGATGTGCTGCCCAGAAGGGCAGGGTCTGCTGGTGCCCATTCAGCATCTGTCCAAGGCGAGGTGATTAGGGCCAGGCTGCGGAGTCCATGACCATGAGCACATTGCGAGGTGCTGAGCAGGGAGGACGGGGCAGGTCAGTGTGGGCAGTCACTGCGAGTGCAGGGACTGGCACCAGTGCAGGCAGAAAACACCAGGGCCACCGTGATTAATTCTGCTCCTAGTCCGGAAGGTGAAAAGCTTTTCATTATGTAAATTATAAATGTCCTGGAGGGAAACTTTATCTCCTGCTCTCCCAAGCTGCCAGGCTGCCTGAATCAGGGTTTTTTTTATGTTTATTAGTCCAGGGGGGGCAGTTAGGGCTCTCACAGCTCCAAAGTGCTGAAGTGCTGACGTTTATCTATTGCTTCCAAACGGACCCTATGGCAGGGTGCCCAGGCGGGCACTGAACAAGGAGCAGGCTGTGGACCTCGTGGGACCCATCCCACTGCGGTCCCCAGGTCCTCGCGTCCTCTGTCATAGCTCGCCTCCTGCTCTCCCTCCTCACCCCTAATTCTTGGTGTCAAGGTTACTGACAAAGGGCCCCAGCACTTCCCTCAGGAACAAGCTCCTATGTGGCGGAGGTTGGCTCCTGGGTCCCTTGCAGGGCCGTGGTGGGCAGGGGTGCTGCCAGTCGTGCTCTGGGCATCTCCAGTGCATTGTGAGTAAAGCATAGACCCTCACTCTTGAGGGTGGGCTGCGTCCAATCAGGTGAAGCAGCACCCGACTTGTGCACACCAGGCTGAGCTCCCTCAAAGGAGGGAACAGGCTGTACACAGCCTGCCGACATGGACAGCAGGGTGGACCGCACCGGGTCCCCACCTACCACCCACCCCGCAGAGGCCTTGCCAGCCCGCACCATCACAGGAGCCAGTTCCACACAACTCTCCCTCCTATGCCCTCCACACGCAGGCTGCATTTCTCGGGAGAACCCCACACCGCTGCACCCCAAAGGGAGGTCTAGGAGAGGGACGGTGACCACAGCTGAACAAGCCTCGCCATCTCAGTCCACGGCGGCCCCTGGGCAGCCGTCCAGGGTGGGTTCCCCGGCTGCACAGAGGCCCCAGGAGGGGTAGGCAGACACGGGCAGGCCATGGGTGGGTCTGTGGCTCTCGCTGGGAGGAAGCTGAGCAGAAGAGTCCCATCCTCCACAGTGCAGACCCGCGGCCACTTGGTAGCTGGGCAAAGCCTTGCTGCCTGTGGTCACACATGAGGGGCAGTGCAGCAGACAGAATAGCACACAGAAATGTCCCCACCTGCCACAGCGAAAAGAGCCCCGCCACCGCCCTGTGCGTGTAGGATGTGCACAGTGAGGCAGTCTGGTGAGCGTGTAAGTTTTCAAAGTTCGTTACAGTGGGACACATTGCCACTAACCATCCTCATACTCCCTGTCACTTCACAGGCTGGTCCATCGTCCCTGCCACCCTCGGAGCAGACCTGGACTTCCTCCCTCGTGGGCGTCTGCAAGGTTCGACCAAAGCTAAAGCAAGTGTGGATGCTGAAGGCCACTCCACAGAAAGGCAGCTCCTGAGCCCTGGCACCGGGTCCTGGGCCACCTCACTCTCAGGGTCTGAAGCCATGCAACTCCCGGCTCATCCCCAAAGTCAGGATGGCTACGAAAGGGCCCGTTTTGCACGGAGTCAGACGTCGAGGTGGCCAGAGTGGCACAGCTAAGGACACGTGCCCTGTCCTTCTGTCCTCACCTGCCCTTCGAGCCTGGGCCTTCACAACAGGAAGCTGCTGCTGCAGGGAGACCATCGAGGTTGAGTCTGGAGGGGAGGTGCTTGGGGAGCCACAGAAGCCGTTTGGAGCTGAGTGCCTGGCTCTGGAAGAAGCAGAAAGGGTTAGGCTGAGGGCTTGGGGTCAGAGTTTGAGTCAGGGTTCGAGAACACACTACAGAAAAGGGGTACAAAGCCCATGACTGGGACAGCAGCTCTAAGGCAGGCTGCCTCTGGAAGCCCAGGCCTGCTCCCTGCAGCCTCCTGGGAAGGTGGGAGGTGAGCTGGACGAGGGGCAGATGACACCATGAATCCTGTCCCAGGTTGCAGCGAGGAAGAAGGAGCCTTTGTCCCAGCATCGTCTGAGGATGCTGTCCGGGACGTTAGGGACACAGGGAGGACCCTGTGCCTGGACATTCCCCACCCTGCCCATCCGAGAGGTGTGGATGCCAAGGAGACCACAGACTGGGAATCCCGTCACTGCACCCGTGACTTCAACACAGGGACTTACAGTCCATGTCCCTCTTTTGCTGCTTGTTGCTGCCAGTAATAAAAATCAGTTGGGCGTGGTGGCACACACCTATAATCCCAGCATTCTGGGAGGCTGAAGCAGGAGGATCACAAATTCAAATCCAGTCTGGGCAATTTAGAACTCAGTGAGAACCTGTCTCAAAACAAAGCACCTTTAAAGGAAGAGTGTGGGGATGTAGCTCAGTGTGAAGGCCATGGGTTTGTTCAATCCCACATACCACAAAAAAATAACTAAAGCACACACATAAAACTACCCATACTTACCTACTACTTCTCTTCAATAATAGTGTCAACACATTGAGGGGCAGAACATTCCACTCTGGCTTTGGAAATATCTGCAAAAGACATTTCAGAGACCGGACACTGTGGGTCTGAGAAAAGATGGCTGGGCATCACACCACCCTCAGGGAAGGTCACCATGCCTGGGAAAGGGTGGGGACATGGCTCTGGAGCCTGGCAGGAGGGGTCACACCCTGGGCCTCCACCTGGCTTGCCTGGCTCTGTCAGTTCCTGTCCTGCTCAGAGCTGCTGCTCTTTACTCCCCATATTGGAAGTTTGGAGCTATGCAAAGTTGCTCAACGCACAGCCACCCCCTTGGGGCGGGGAAGGGCATAGGACTGGAGTCAGGGCACATGTCCTGACCTCCGGGCTCCTGGTGTGACCTTAGGCCTCAGTTCTCTAATCAGCACAGGTCGGGGCTCACAGAGGGCTTACAAAGCTGCACGCAGCCCTGCACACGGCAGCCACGGCACTGTCCTCCCACGGTGGCAGCTGCCACTGTGACGGCCACACGGCCACTGAAGGAGGAGCAGCGCAGCCAGCCCACCCTGTGACCCTCCGTGGTAGCTCAGCCTGTGTGCCTCCATTTTCCTGTCGGAAAAGACAGATGCTAATGGCTGTGATACTCAGGCACACACAAACTCGAGGCTCTTGATGGCACTGTGTTGACAGCAGGTGTAAACATCAGCTTCTGTAGTTCTTAAGGGACAATAATTCAGATTCATAAAATAACAGGTCATCTGTCCCGGAAGTGAGCCGGTGCTGGCAGTGTTCAGTCTAACCCGACTCTGGTTAGTGGGAGAGAGCGCCCAGCCTCGGCTCTCAATGAGCAGCGAAGGTGAGGCCCGGTGACAGGGCTGAACAGAAAACGCTCCCACCTCACTGTTCAGAGTGGATTTGCTTCTCCAGATCCACATTTTACCCGGAAATACTGGGCATCCTTGGCTGAAATGTCAGCACGGAGGATGAGAGCCAATTGGGGTATAGGAGGGCAGGGGAGGTTTTAGAAGTATTTAAACAAAATAATAGACAAAGTTCACTCTCCCATGATGCTAACTAAGCTAAAAGCCACAGGAGAAGGCACTGAAGAGCACAGAACAGGATGGGGACCAGGGTCACCCAGCAGTGGCCCAGGTCACCCAGCTGGCTGACCTCAAGACCATCGCTCCACATTTCCAAGCCTCAGTTTCCTCACCTGTGAACCCCGGGCACCTGCATGGATGCGCTCAAGGGCCCTGCAGCCCCTCACCATCTCAGAACTGAACACACATTAACAGACAAGCAGCACTGCCTGGTCCTTGCCTTCACTTTACTATGCAACCTCAAAACATTGATCTGGTTATTTTGTAGAGATCTACAAATGAAGGGATATTGTATCAGTCAGTTATGCTGCAGTAACAAACAATCCCAGTGGCTTTCAACAAGCCAGTGTTAGTGACAGTGCTGTCCATCCATGATCAGCGGTGGCTCTGCTCCATGTCCTCCCTGGCTAGGAGCGGTGTCTCTATCTGGACACAGCTGATCTTCTGCCAGAGGGAAAGCAGACTTCTCCACCAGGAGCTGGCTCTGACGGCTCCCTCGTGGTAGGACATGTGTTGCCCCTGCCTGTGTTTTATTGGCCAAACCGAGTCATGTGGTTTCTGACTTCAAGGAGGGGCTGGATAATCAATCCTACCACCAAGAACGGCATGACGGGGGACAGAGTACTCACCAAACAGGAGTCAGAAGCACTGAGCAGAGCCCACTTGCCCCTGAGGAAGGGGGGAAACTGGCTCCTCTTCCATGCAGAGGGCTGCGTGGTGCCCGTGGACACTGCATGGCCACATTTCCGGGAAGATGGAGGGAAGCAATTTCTCTTTGCTACTTTGGGAAAAGTAAATACCAAACAAGTATGAAGAAAAGTCCCAGAGAGGAGCAGCATCAAGGAGTAGAGCAGCAGGGAGCCAGGGAAGCCCAGGTCTGGAGACACCAGCACTTCCCGCAGCCCCTGCAGCCCCAGTGGCCATGGCTCCTGCCTGCTGGAAGCAGCATCTGGGTTTGGGGTCCCAGCCCATCCAGAAGGCAAAGGAAGAGGGATCACCTTGTTTCCTGCCATCTCCAGTGAGGGCAGGCATCTCCCAGCCTCCACAGTAGAAAGAAAAGTCAAATGCACATTTCAGCGCTGTAAGCCGAGCACTGCCCAGTGAGCTCCACGGCCCTGCCCGGCCCCTCAAAGCAGCTCTGGCAGCCCACGCCCCTTGGCACGTGTGTGTAGCAGCTGGATGGCTCATGGCACTGCAGCTCTGCAGCTGGTGCGGAAGCGACTGGCGGGAGCAAACTGTCCAGATGGGCAGTAAATCCTCTCTAATGTCCTAATATGTCAGAAGGAGCGACTTGTGTTAGAGCAGCTTAGGAGAACTCTTCAGGAGCTACAGAAATTCCTCACGGATGACAGCGCCGGCTGTGAGCTACAACGAGAGTCCTGCTTCCCAAGCTCAGTCTGGGGGCTCCTCCACACTGGGACTATGAGGGTTTGGGGGACCTCCCCTCTACTCCATTCACAGCTTGGGGTTCTCCAGTCTGCTGACGTCTGGCTGGCACTTAGCCCTACAGACGTAGGGTGGGAATGGAGCCTACAGAAGGAAAATGATGCTTTATTCTGGGATTTTATGACTCTCCGGGGCCACTGCCTCTCAGGTGGTAACTGCAAAATTTTTAAATTAGGAGTAAAGCAGTGACTGATGTGTAGAGGAGCGTGAACAGAGACGAACATTTCCAGACATGTAACACAACAAAGACAATATTCACAATATGTATTTTTTAAATTTGCCATAAATCCATGAGAAAGCACATCAAAAACCTATTTAGAAATGCACTTAGGATATGAATTTGCAATTTCTAGAAGGGGAGACTCAGGTGGGCTGCAGAACTGGGAAATAATTAATCAACCTCGTTAGTGGTCAGGGAAAGCGAGAGGCTGTGCTCACCGGACACACTGGGCAGCGCACTGGGAAGACACTGCTTCCAGAGTGCAGAGTGGCCAGGACCCCGGGGGCACCGTCTAAGGATCTGAACTAAAATCGTCCCGCAGGAGACGCTCCCTAGGCCCGGGGTCAGCGAGCTACACCCCCAAAGGCTCACAGCTCAAGGCAGGAGATTAGCACCCCCAGGAGGCCGCTGCAGCCTGGGGAAGCGGGTGCAGGCCCAGCCCAGAGCCAGGAACCCAGTTGTGGTGAGGGTCCCAGGAGTCCAGTGAAGCAGCCACTCTGCTGCTCCACTGCAGAGGACCCTGTTGGGCCCTGCATCAGGACGTTGACGTCTGTGACACAAGGAAGACGGAGACTTCCGAAATGTTCACAGGCGGGGTCACACCGTGTGAAACTGGCCCACGGTTTGCAAAAATGTGGTAGATAAGCGCCGATTCTAAACATATCCCAGAAGTAATTTTACAGTGTGCAGTTACTTTTTTAAAAGATACAGAACGTATTTCCACGCACACGTTACTTCTGCACACTCTTTCTGTGCGTTAAGTGTGTTTCATGCTTGTGTAGCACTCAGCAGAGCACTCTGGAACATGGCAACTGACAGCAGTGGGAGATTCTGCAGTGCGAATGTGGCAGGGTCCTCTTATTTCTCCTGAAAATAACTCGTACAGTCACTAGTCTTTAAATTTGAGAAACACACACTACTGGGGCTGGGGGACTGGGTCCTGCACCATCCAGCTATGTCACCGGGGGCAGGTGCCAACCTCCTGGGCCAGCCGTTCCTAACCACCAGCAGGGAGGGGACTTGGTCCTGTCATCCAGCTTTACCATGCTGAGATCCTTGCCTGTCTTTGGAGTATGAAAATTCAGCTGCTACGTAAACCTGGGCAAAGAAATAATCAGAAGCTTGTACAACTCCATCCTTGGAGGGACTAGTTAACAGTGTAAGTCCATCCTTGGAGGGACTAGTTAACAGATGGAGGGACTAGTTAACAGTGTAAGTCCATCCTTGGAGGGACTAGTTAACAGTGTAAGTCCATCCTTGGAAGGACTAGTTAACAGCCAGCTCCACGGGCTGTCTTAGGACAGGGGCATTGCATGTCTATAAATACTGCATGGCTATGAGAAGCACTTTATATTTAAAGTAAACGTTTTTAACGAAATTGCCCCATGAGGAGCTTTAATCTCAGTATGTCTCCCAGACCTTGGTCTCAGCAGCGTGGTGACGCCCTTCTCAGCAGATCACCGGGTGAGTGGCCCGAGCACGCCCGGTGTCCGCACACAGAGCACCAGGGCTGTCGGGACCGCGCCCCACTCAGGAAGCCCCTCTCGTCTCATCTGAAAAACAGCACGGGCAGCATCTTGCATCACAAATGCATCTGGATTGCTTTTATCAAGAAATAGGAATAAACCAGAATCCCTAAGGGGTGGACGTGCAAACCTTGATTAACAGAAATCTCTACTAAAAAGGCAAAGCTAATTACACAATGTGGTCAGCTGTTCCCCAGAGAAAGTTCTCTTTCTGGATCAAGTGCAGTATTCAAACAGCAGTGAACCCCGGGGCTGCAGAGACCGTCAGAGCCCCTTCATTCCGAAAGCACTGTACCCCAAGTTCATGTTTGGGCCCAGAACCCAGGTTCTATCAGGTGGGCCGGCTCCCCGCTGAGTGTAAACAAAACCAGCACCAAAGCCTCTTGTGCCGGTTTCCTAGGAAATTGCTTTTGAAAAACAAAGCTAAATGCTTTCCATTGTGAGATTTTAAAGACAGCTCATAGGCAAACAGTCTTTCATAAATATTAATACAGTCTACATTTTATCAGAATTTAATCATTCTGCATATGGAGTAATTTTCTATTAATCATTAGAAAGAAGGGCTTAGGTGCAGCTCAGTGCTCACCGCTGAGCTGCACCTAAGCCCTTCTTTGTAATGATTATACCACAGTGATATATGTGCACCCATGTTTATAGCAGCACAGTTTATAATAGCTAAAACTTGGAAACAGCCCACCTGCCCATCAGTTGGAAACTGGATAAAGAAAATGTGGTCTTTCTATAAAATGGAATACTACTCAGCCATAAAGAATGAGAAAGTAGATTCATTCATAGGTAAATGGATACACTTTGAGGATATACTCCTAAGTGAAATAAATAACTCACACATGTGTAAATACTGAATAGTTTCTCTGGTGTGAAAAACTAAAATAGTACTCAAGATCCTAATGGGGCAATTAGCAATGTGAAACAGGAAGAAAAAGACCACAGGTGTAGGGACAGTGAGAAAGGTAGGGGAAGGGGAATAAGGGAAAGGGAAAAAAATATGAGAAAATGTAAAAATGGAATTAAAGTCTTTGTAGGTGGGGAGGGGAAGAGGGGGTGAAGGGAGGGTGGGGACAAGGGGAAAACTGAGAACCAAGATCTGTCATGTAGAGGTACAAGATCCCAGTAATGGATGTAACTACACTGTCTACCTAAAATGTACCAATAAATTCAATAAAAAAAAGAAAGTAGGAAAGATTAGATGGATTGATGATAGGTAATAGATGATTGGTAGCATAAATAGGTATACTGATGATAGATAAGTAAATAATAGATAGATAGTAGGTAGAATAAATACGTAGATTGATGATAGACAGACAGATAGGCAGACAGACAGACAGGGAAGCAGATGGATAGACTAAATGCAGCACACAACCTGCTGGTTGCTCTCCAGGAGACCTCCACTGGTCCCGTCTCCTTTGTTTACTGCCTGTCCTGGACACTCCAGCCCTGACCTGTTCAGCACCCTTATCTTCTGGCTGTGCCTGAATTTATCCAATGAGGAAGCACAGAAGCAGGAGTGGTTAGGACTTTAGGAGAAAGAGGAGGACACATCCCTCAGCACAGCCTCCTTCCTACCCTGGCTCCTACTTAGAAGCTTCATTTCAGCCTGCAGGATCCTGCTCTGGAGACCACGTTCCTGTGTCCCTGGCCACCTGACCAGTGCCCTTGAGCTGCTCACACCTCCATTTCTGTGAGATCCCTGCCCACTGGCACGCAGAGCAGTAGGAAGCCGGCAGGTATTCATGGGCGCTTGATGAATGAAGTCCCATGCCAAAGATGCCAAAGCAAGCACACCCTGGCCAGGGCCACCGTGGACCTGCCCTGGCCAGCCCTGCCTGCTGCATGCCCTGACCCTATAGGGAGGGCAGAGAAAAAGCCAAGCCAGCAGGACTCCACAGGGCCCCTCTCCGGGGAAGAGCGGGCAGCTGGCCACTGCTGGACACAAACCCACTGAGGACACAGCATCCACCTGGCCCATCTGCGTTGTCCCTGTGGCAGTGGGGACCAAGGGGCACATGAGAGCAGGGTGCTCGAGTTGGAGCCTCGGGTCTTCTGGCAGCTCCCTGACAGGAATGGGCTAAAGTTGGAGCTTGTGGGATGGGAAGCCATCTCCGCTCTCCCCACACCCAGCCGCACCCTGGGTCCCGTGGACAGACCTGCGCTTTCGGTTCCCTTCTCACTCGGCCCCCAAGGCTTTCGCTCCTCGAGCCTCACTCACACGTCACCTCCCAGCTGCATCCTCCCCAGGGAAGAGGAGTCACTCTATTTTCTTATGTTTTGTTTCAGCTGTTTGTTTACTGTCTTGCCATCTTCCCCACAATGAAATATATTCTTCAGGAGAACCAGGGTCCTCCGGACCTCATTTCTGCCGTCTCCCAGGAGTGAGGCAGGTGCGCAGCCCCAGAAGTCACAGGAACGGCCGAGGAGTGAAGGAAGCTACGTGAGCAGCGAGCGTTCACCAGGTTCCCCACGTCACTGGGGTCTGAATCACCCGGCTTCCAGGGCACAGACGTCAGAGGTGCGCCGAGACGTCGTGTCTTTGTGACGTATTTCCTGCTACGCACCGCAGTTCAGTGGAGCAGCGAGACAGTGTTCTGAGTGTGGTAAAGCACAGCATCATTCCCGCAGGGCGCAAGGTCCTCTGAGTCATCTGGGAGGTGACACCATAGATCCAAGGCATGCAGTCGGTCGGTCCCTGACTTGAGGAGAGGGTGCAGGAGAGCGCAGGGGCGAGAGGCTCCCCAGCCGCCCAGGCCAAGGCGCCGAGGTGCCGAGGTGCCATGTCTCCAACTCCGAGTCATCGCGTCGCGGGCGCCGCCCAGTCTCCCAGGGCAGTGTCATGGTGGGCGCAGCACTCCCTGCGTGGATACACAGAGGTGGCCCCCCAGGAGAGGCGCTGGGCCTCTCTGCCACGGGACCACCGGGGCCTCCACGCTGTCCAGCTCCCTGCTCCTGCCCAGCTGCTCATGGCCCATTTCCTGTCCACCAGGGCCTGGCCTCCTCCGGTGGGAAACTCAAATCCAGCCAGTGCTGACAGGAAAATCCACAGCATTTCCGGAACTGGCAACGCATTCTTCTAGGGCTTCTGGTCAGACAGGGCCGTGCCTGCGAGAGGGAAGTGTGTTCTGAGAGACTGGCTCCTACCTGTGAAAGGACAAGGCTGGGTATTTATTTAACAAATGCCGCCTCGCACACAGCTGCATCCCGCGGGAGGAGCATCACCAGGCTTTGCTGCACGACCAAGGCAGCCTGTCAGCAAGGAAACTGATGCATAGCAGAGTCAGGACACCCACCTGAGCCATGCAGCCATGGGCATCAGCCTGGGCCCGAGCAGCAGGGTGCAGCGCCTCAGCTGTGCCACTGCCCTGGGACGCAGTTCGGTCCCGGCCCCAGCATGTGCCTGGTGCAGGGGAGGTCTCTGGTCACCTTGTGTGTCCCCGAAGGGTCTTGGGCCCTGCCCTCCTCTCCCTGAGTCCCCCGAGACCATGGGTGAGACAAAGTTTTCCTGCTTGTGATTTGTGGAGGTGCAACTGAGCCTGCGCTGTGCCCTGGGTCCCACGCACCTGCACAGAGCGGCCACCTCTTGGGGCTTGCTGCTTCTACTCTGTGGGAAGGTGGGGGACACTGGGCTCCAGGGCAGAAATGCCAGAGAGAGAACACCCAGCCCCGGCGTGGGGCCTGGGCTCCTGTGTGCTGCTGAGGCCCCAACAGGCCGCCGGCTGTTCCAGCAGCCCCTCTCCTACCTCTCGCAGGTGGCATCCAGACGAGGCACACGGCCCCAGGGAGGCTCCAGCCCCTAGGGCAGCCCCGGAGCTGCATGCCTGCCCCAGGCCCCAAGCCTATAGTCAGCACAGATCCTTGGGTCTCTTTCAAGGATGCCCCTGTGCCAAACCCAACAGCTGCACTCAAAACAGCAACACTGGCGGGACAGACCACAGAGGGGCCCAGGCCCTGGCCCTGGAGCCACGGTGGGATGCAGTGACAATAGACGTGTATCCCTATACATTGTCGTCCCTGGGGACCCTGTGACATGGAGTTACCACACTGCTAGCCACAGGCCTTGGGGTCACAACATCTCAGGGGGCTTTGTGTTTGCAGCAAATGTACAGCTGTGAAGGGCTGGGCAGGGGGAGCTGTGCTTTCTGCTCCATTCTAGTGTAAACCTAAAAATGCTCTCAAACAAAGTCTAAGCCTGCCTGTGATGCACACCTGTGATCCCAGCACTCAGGAGGCTGAGACAGGAGGGTCACAAATTCGAGGCCAGCTTGGGCTGCATAGCAAGACCCTGTCTTTAAAAATGAATAAAATCCGTTTTTAAATAATACTAACATTTTTTTCAATTTCAGAAACTACCTGGAAGCCACAGTCCCCTGGCACCTGTCCGTTGTCCCCACCCTGCTGTTCTGCCTCTCTCCCGACCCCTGAGGAGGACAGATGTCCCACAGCTGGTATGTGGCTAATACAAACTGGAATTTAAACTGAACCCTGCAGCACATGGTGGGGTTGGCACAGGGCAACACCGCAAGACTGACAGTTTCCCATCATGCAGACTTTTGAAATAACGTGTGCCCGCCACAAGTCCACGAAGGTAAAGACAGCCTGAGCTACAGGTATGATATAATTGCACACTGAGTTTTACCAGTACCACAGTCATACCATAGTGGTCTCTGAAGATGAATGCCACCAGCCCACCCCGGAACCTGCCTGGAGCCCTTGGCAGATCTGACCTGGGAGAGGCTGTATCCTCTTTCCTCCCAAGGAAGAAGGTTGTTGCTAGGCTTTAATAATTTGTTTCTGCAATATAATTCTTGTATCAGAAATATTGAGATAATCGCACCATACTATGTAATTGTAGCTTCAATGTGGAATTCAGTATTTTCTTTTCTACTTAAAATGTGAGGTATTTTGCAAAGAAAGATAATGTACAGCGCTTTTCAGCATCCGGCCCTGAACTTAAACCTCAGCCTGATGCTTAATGACGCATCTGCCAAGTGTGCAGATTGTAAAGCAAGTGCTTTCTTTTGTTCAATAATCCATCCTATTTAATAGCCCTATTATTCAATAAAAATCCCTAAAGAATTCACTTCCAGCAATGTTTCTGACCTCCCTTTGGTGTCTAGACAATAATGATTTAGTGAAATGTGTGGGGAGTAACATAAAAAAAGGTCTCAAAACATAGATGACATTTGAGGTTATTATGGGGAGAGAAGAAAAAATAGTACTGTGGCAGGGCAGAAAATTTCCAGATAAAATCATTTCAATAGAAATGGGATGTAATGATCAAAACTCCGATGTGAAAAAGTTACATTGGTCAGCATGACAATCTACTGCTTATAAAATCGGAATAGTTTTCTACGAATTCTCAAGGTAAAGTGACAATCTGTGAGGTAACAAAAAGACCGCTGGAAGATCAGAGTCTGCCCGCAGGCCACCGTGTTTTCCGAGTATTCGTGGAGAAGTTACAGATCTCGTTCAGGTGGGCCAGGAGCACAGGGCCAGAGCCCTGGAGCCTCTTCTCCTGTCGGCCCAGCACTGGCTTCCGCTCACCAACCGTGCTCCATTCTCCCACCAGCTCTGTGAACTCGGTTAACTGGAAAGGCAGTCGTCCCATGCGGCGGGGCGGTCTGAGAACGCACTCCTCCTGCTAGGGTGCAGAAGTGTGTGTCCCTCCAACTTCCTGGGCTGGGATTTAAGCCCCACGACGACAACGGCATTGGTGGGGATGCAGGGAGGTGCTTACTGTGAAGGCTCTGCCCTCGTGGATGGGGTCCACACCCACGTAAAGAGGGTTCAGGGCAGCCGGCCCTTCCCACCTCTGGGTGCCATCTTGGATCTGCCAGCACCGGGGCCTTGGCAGTGCCAGCCTCTGGATCAGGGAGGCGTAGACTTCTGCTAGGTACAAGTGACCCAGGACAAGGTATTTTCTACCAGCACCAAGAATGAACAAGAACAAATTAATTTTGGCACAGTCTAACTTTTAAATCTCTAGGCAAGCTCTGTGCGCTTTACACAGAGGACACAGAGTATGCATAGAGTAAGGAATTTCTCAGTTAACTGACAGCATTGAGTTCTATTTATCCTCTAACATAGTGAGTGGCCCACTTCTTAGGCGTGGTAAGCAGGTGTGAGACAGACAGTGGGGGTCTGTGCCTCACAATTTGTATTCTCAGCGGGGCATAGATTTGAGCAGAGTATGGAAAGAGATGCCAAACATGGCAATAAACCCTCATGAACCCGGGATATGTTCCAGAGATTATAAATCCTGACAAAAAAACAATCCTGCAATAAAAGATTGTACTGCAATTTGGCTCTTATGTTTGCATACAGAAAACTTAATATAAAATTCTTACGCTGCTGAACAAAAGCCACCCAGCCCATCACAAGTTACTGTAAGGTTAAGGGAAGCAAAAAAGGAAGAGCTTTTCTACAGTGTTTTTTTCCCCTACCCATTCTACAGCGTTTTGTATTCTCACATACTGTTATATTTGCCACTTTCTAAGGAAAAAGCAGCCTTGTTACAGTCACCTCAGGGCCTTTTTAAAGGAAAAATCTAATACCCCACTTAGGTTCCCTGCCCTTAACAAATCACGTAGAAGGTAAAGTTTGCGCACTGACAGCCTCCGTTTCTGCTTTCTGAGATCTGTCGCTGTGTCATCCTCCCTCTCCCCTCCCCCTGCTCTGTAATTTGTAAATTAGAAAGCCCAATAGTTGAGGAAGGAGAGGAAGCCAGGTAGGGCGTATGGCAGGGATCTGGAATGTGGGACAATCCTGGGAAGGCAGAGGAGGCCCCGGCCAGTTCTCGAGGGATGGTGGCAGCCCTAGGAGTGCCCTGCAGGCCCCACAGCACTCAGGACAGCCACACACAGCTCTGAGACTGGGCGAGTGTGGGGACAGAGGCCTCAAAAGGAGGGTCTGAAGGACTGGCCCCAGAGTCAGGAGTGTTTTCTGCACAAACCCTGCAGTCAGGCGCACTGTGGTCAGATACACTGCTCGGTGGCCTGTGTGAGGCTTTCCCCCAACTCTCCAGCTGCGTAGGCTTTTGGGATCCACTGCTGGCCTCGGGGTACTTGCCGTCTCCAACTGGCCCTCCCTCTGCTCCAGGGCCTTCCAGCCCCACAGGAAACTGGCAGAGAGGTGTGCTGGGTGCCCCCCATGCTGCCTGCCGGGGACCCCTGCATGGGGCCTCTCCTCTTCCTCTTCTCTGGCCTGGATCTGGGCCCTGGAAACCCCAATCTACAGTCTCTTCATTAGGCTCACCCAGCCCCAGGGAGGGATGTCTCCTCCTTACCAGGGTCCCAGTGGGCTCACTGTCCGCCCTCCCTCACCCACGGACCCCTCGGTCAGCTGGTGTCTGAGTTACACTGTCCCTTCACACTTGCACACTGCCTCATCTGGGGATTCTTGGGATTGGCAACCTGCCTCTCCCAGCATGCAGCCTGCTGGTCTCTCACCTTTCAGCACTGCAGCAGGGCTGCTAACACTCACATCCACTGTGCAAAGGGCCTGTGGCAGCTCCAAGTTAGGCACTCGCACATCTCTCTT